AGAATAGCACATACACAAAAAAAATTTGTTTCATTCACAATACCCCCAAAGTGGCCCAGGGTTAAGAATAGGTCCACTGTTCCCCATTGCATGTCGTAAGAGGTGACTGAATTGGGGCTCCTCGTTTGACGTGAGATGCGACCCGTGTCGGTTTTGAATAGACACCTGGTGGTTGAGGGTAACATAATTCACTTTGGGCCAGGAGATTCCTAGACGGGTGGCCAGTGTGACCCACACTAGTCAAACGGCTTGTCGTGTTGAGCCTATGAGTCGGTGGTCAGAACAGATAAAACTTTTTCTTGTCAGTTTTAATCCTTTCCTTCAATGCATTTCACCGACTCAAAAGCAGCGGCTTGGGTCAATTGAGTAAAAATACAATATAAGTTCAAGGAATTTCTTTGCCCCATCCTGAACTTCTATTCCCCATTTTTATTCAAGTATATCACCTGATTACCCCTAGGGCACTGGGGCTAGAGTCCCACACACAGCCCGCGCGTTTGTCGTGGTCCGTGGTGGTCGGGGGTTTCGGGAGATGAATCCTTTATTATTTCTTCATGGCTACACAAACCAAAATAAAGGCCGAATTTACTGATTCGTCTAATTCAGACAAATCATGACCTTGGTTTCTTGTCATTGACAGTAGTGACCCTGAGAGGTCTTTATCATCATTGTCCCCATTTGCAATTTCAAAAGGTTTGACTGGACTTGCCAGTGAACCAAAATCTACAAAAAAATTATGCAATGGGCCTTTGTTGGTTGAATGCTCACACAAAATTTATTCTGAGCTGTTAAAATCATCTACATTGGCTAATATTCCTATCAAAGTTTCACCTCATTCTTTTCTGAACTCTTCCAAAGGGGTCATTCTACACCCAGACCTCAATGGAGGTTCTCCTGAGGAAATGAAGGAGGAATTACAGGATATTGGAGTCACGAACGTTGATAGAATATCCATCTGTCGTGACAGTCTAATAATTCCTACCAACACATTTATTCTTTTATTCAACCAACCTGATTTACCATCTGAAATCAAAGTAGGCTACCTTAATATCAAAGTATCGCCGTATATACCAAATCCTCTCAGATGTTACAACTGTCAATGCTTTGGGCATGGAACTCAAACTTGTAAGAGTTTGATTCGGTGTGCGCGTTGTGGTCAGTCTGGGCATGACAACAAGGATTGTACCGAAGTTCCTTGTTGTTGCAATTGCAATGGAAAGCATGTTGCCTTTTCCAAAGACTGTCCAAAGTGGCAAACTGAAAAAAAAATTAATAACATTAATAAAGTAAGAATAGAAAATAAATTATCGTATCCCAAAGCGAGGAAGTTTGTAGAAGGTGCAACTCCATCTACTCCTTTCGGAAAGACTTTTGCTAATGTCGTTAAGGCTTCTACCATATCGGTGGAATGCCAAACTGACGATCTCTGCCACAGTTATCATTATCCTGTAATTCTACGGAATAATGGTCCTTCACCAGTAGACAGGCCACAAAGATGGAAACTCACGGAAACTAATTGGCCTCTCTTTGAGGCTCTTTGCATTTCTTCTTTTCCTCAAGATGATCTAGATGAGGCAGAAGACCCGATGAAATTATTTACCACCATCTTACAAGATGTATCGGGCCAGGCAATTCGTAAAACCTCAGCAACTCCAAAACGATTCAATAAACCATGGTTTAACGAAGACAGCACTGAAAATACGCTATCGTGCTCTACGACTCCTTGAACGTTCTCCTACTGATGACAACATGGCCTCTTTCCGCATTGCATGGGCGAAAGCCAGGTGGACTATTCGCCAAGCAAAGAAGTCGTCATGGCAGGAGTACGTTTTAAGAATCAACAGTCGTACGTCTTCCAAATCAGTCTGGGATGGGATTCATAGGATCAAGGGTAAAGCGGATACAATATCTGTGAACCATCTAGAGATAGATGGTTCAACTCTCACCACTCTTCCAGATATCGCTAATTCATTGGGCCACAATTTTTCTTATAATTCATCCTCTAACTTTTTCTAGGATGCTTTTCGGAGAGTCAAACTCCAGGAAGAGAGGAAAAAACTTTTCATCAAAAAACAAAGAATATTATAATGATAAATTTAAAATCTCAGAATTAAAGTTTTCTTTGAAACAGGCCCATGATACAGCTACTGGGCTTGATGATATCCATTATCAGATCCTAAAACATCTTCCTTACCCTACATTAAAAAAACTTTTATATATTTTTAACCAGATTTGGGATGATGGTGTATTTCCTCTATCTTGGAGGATTGCTACCATTGTGCCCATTCCTAAACCTGGTAAAGATCCTACGAATCCTACGAATTACCGCCCCCTTTGCATTAACCAGCTGCATTTGTAAAACCATGGAACGAATGATCAATCGAAGGCTCGTTTGGCACCTTGAGTCAAACAATCTATTAACTAACCTTCAGTGTGGATTTCGGTCTCAAAGGAGCACTCTTGATCATCTCGTTAGATTTGAATCGTTCGCCAGGGATGCCTTCATCCAAAATCACCATTTAGTAGCCATATTTTTTTATTTGGAGAAGGCTTATGACACCACTTGGAGATATGGCATTCTTCGTGATCTCTATGACTTCGGTCTCAGACGAGGGTTGCCATTATTTATCTCCAATTTCCTACGTGATAGGACGTTTAAGGTACGACTTGGCTCCATTTTTTCAGATCCTTTTCCTCAGGATAATGGAGTTCCACAGGGTAGCATATTACCCTGTTCACTATTAAAATTAATTCCATCACGTCGTGCCTTAGACGGGGGGTTGATGGCTATCTGTATGTTGATGACTTTCAGATGTGTTATGGCTCTACAAACAGGCAGACAATTGAGCTTCAGTTGCAGCTTTGCTTAAACAACTTACAGCAATGGGCAACTGACAATGGTTTTAGGTTTTCGAAATCCAAGATCGTCTGCATGCATTTCTGTAAACGTAGAGGATTACACCTCGACCCAGTGCTACGCTTGGACAGTGCTGCCATTCCTGTTGTACAAGAATTAAAATTTTTAGGGCTCACCTTTGACAGTAAGCTTTCTTTCTGTCCCCACATCAAAATCCTCAAGAACAAATGTCTGAAAGCCCTCAACATACTGAGAGTCTTATGCAATACTGACTGGGGAGCTGACCGCAAGGTCCTCCTCCGATTATATCGAGCTTTGGTTCGTTCCAATGGGTGTCAGGTGTATGGTTCGGCTCGTCAATCCTATATCAAAGAGCTTGATACCATACATCACAAAGGACTTAGAATCAGTTTAGGTGCAATTCGTACAACTCCAGTTAGTCTGTACGTCAAGGCTAATGAGCTATCACTGTACGACAAACGGGACAGACTTTTATTACAGTACACCATTAAAATAGCATCTTTACCACATCATCCTGCTTACCGCCCCGTATTTAGACCTTTCTTTGAGCATTTGTACGAGGCAAAGCCTTGTGCTATTTCTTCTTTTGGTGTCCGCATTCAACCCCTTATGTCAGCGGCTGGTATCAGCCACAACAGTATTGCAGACTTCGCAATGACCACAGCTCCATTTCAGATAGACTTCAGCCTATCGAGCAATAAAAAAACTCAAACAAACTCTATAGTGTTTCAATCTAAATTTCTAGAACTAAGGTCTAAATATGGGGATTACTCACCTTTCTATACAGATGGATCTAAGGATGGTGATAAGGTAGCAGCCCCTACAGTTACACCATTCGAAGTTCTATCTGTAGCTTTACCATCAGCAGCCTCCATTTTCACAGCAGAACTCATTGCCATTTTACAGGCACTTGAGTTCTTTCAGTCCTCATGACCATTAAAAAATGTATTATATTTTCTGATTCTTTGTCCTCATTACAAGCTATTAATAACATCCAGCTTGTACACCTAATAATCGGGGATATATACAAGCTCTCTGGGCTGAAAAAGGACATTGTTCTTTGTTGGCTGCCCAGTCACATGGATATACGGGGGAATGACATGGCAGATGCGGCGGCTAAGGCTGCTTTGTCACTGCCTGTTTCCCCCTTTTCTTTGCCTTTCACCGATTTTAAATCGGTGATAAGTTCTTTTATTCTACATCGATGGCAGCAAAGATGGAATGCTGCAGACACTAACAAGCTTCATGACATTAAGCCTCTCCTAGGAGACTGTCCCTCTTCCTATTGTGCCAACAGGAGAAATGAAGTTGTTTTGTGTCGCTCTCGTCTTGGACATACTCACCTCACCAACTGTTATCTGCTCAAGCGAGAGCCTCAACCAGTCTGCCAGATCCGCCTGGCAGTGAAACACATTCTGATTGAGTGTAAGCATCTCAAACCTATAGAATGAATTTTGACCAGACAGCACCAAGATTTTCTCCGTATATCTGTCTGAAAGCAACTTGAAATTTCATTTGATTGTCAAAATCAAGAAACCAAAATGGAAGTGCAAGGGATCAATAAGCCATTCAGATTGGTCAAACCTATAAAGTTTGTGAATTAAGCCAGGTAATTTTAAAAATAATAAATCTCATCAGCTAATGTACCACAATGTTGTTCATAATTGACCAATATTATTCAAAAATACAGCCCAAGCCTCTTCTCACTAGTTTTAGGTATTGAAAGAGAGAAACTTTGAGTAAACATTGGTTTGACAATGGATTGTGTACAGAAGAATCTCACAGCCAATACCAGTGAAGAAGGAAAGATGTGAGAGACAGGACAAGTTTAGATACATTGGTAAAGCTCAGCTGAAATAACCTAGTTTAGTTTGTTAATTTTCTCTACAGCTCCATAAGACTCTACCAACAACACATTTGTTCACTGTTACATCCATGTTATTTCTTGTTTAAAGGAACAGATTGTTCTTCTGTTACTTTCTAGTTATTTTGGAGAAGTAGTTGTAATAAGACATCAATGTGATCATTATTCCACTATCATAGATTGAGAATCAATTAACTTACAATTAATGGATTACCACAATGTGAATATATTTGTTGTTGAAATTACCTTCTAGTTAAAATGAATCAAAGTGGATTTAATTTAGTATTGTTGTGTATTATATTGGAAATAATTAATATAAAATGTGATACGAAAGGTAAGGATTTTTAAGCCAAGTAATATTACATTTATACAAAATCACACTTGACTTTGATGTTTCCAGTTGTGATTGCTTACTGCCTGATAGAAATTTGTTAAGAATCTGAAGCAATGTAGGTTAATTGTCTGGAATGTTGATGAATGGAAAATATTTCAGTAATATATTAATTTTGATGATTATCAGATATAAATAACATCATGATAGAACCACATCTGAACTATACCTGTTTCTTGCTCAACAATATTCTACATACCATGTGTCTATACTATTTCTACATGGGATCTATTTAAGATTTATTTATTTCAGAATTTTCAGCATGTTATGGAACATATAAGAATTTTCTAGAACTAGAATGTGATTGGGGTGATAAAATAACAATACATAAAGTATTTCATGGAGCTAAAGCAATTCATCTAGAATGTCCTTATCCTACTGATCAGAGCTCTTATAAAGAGGATTGTTGTGTGCCACATAAAGAGGATTGTATGTTTGAAATCAAACCAGCAGAAAAAATATCCTATGAAACAAACTGTAATGGTAAATCTCAATGTCAGTTATTAGCAATGTGGAAAGCCACCACTGGTATCTGTGATCCCAAAAAATTTAACCCTCACACAAACTTTATGAAAATAACCTATTCATGTTCATCAGGTAAATCTTTTCTTCCTTTTACATATATCTAAATAAATGTGATCATTTTTTATGTGAAACATTTTGTGATATTGACATGTCCCATTTGTGCTTATGTTAACATTATGTCAGTGTTAAAACATAGCCAACATAGACATAATGCTATATCTTTCGAGATTTTTAAATGAAAGAGATATGTATTTATATCACTCTCTAATATCGTCCGCAAAGAAATTTTCCAGAAAATGTCCATTCTCCATCGATTTACTGAAGATGACATAAATTGTTTAAAAGATACACAACACAGAAATCATCAATAAATTCAGCTGTTATTATATGTTATAGTGGGTGATTGTTTGATAGATATTTGGTTGTTGGTTTTCTAAAATCAATAGCATGATGATTATCTCAAAAATTCAACTTGAAGCATGCAACATGTTTATATATTAGAAAGTTCTCAGAGCTAGTAGTCTCTTCAGAATTTCAAATATTTTGAGAAATTCAAATAAAATTCACAAATTCAGTTTGAAATAGATTTGTGTTTGTTGATGTTCGTGTATGTAGCCTTGTCTAAAATTTAGAAATTCTGTGAAAATTGTTTGGCTACCTGGGGTCTGTGTGTACATTTTAGAAATGTTTCTAATGATTGTTATTATTTACATCTATCACACTATATCCACCATATTGTCTAGGTCTTGGTTCTCAAGGTAACTTTTAATTCTTTTCTTGAGCTTGTGGTTTTGGGTGTATTGAAGGTACTATAATATCAAATATCTGGACACTGGACACAATTATGAGTCCTATATAATTATGTCCAGTTACTTATTTTCCAATTAAAGATAGGTTCCCTTATTTTCATTTATGGAAAAATACAAGTTTGTCCATGTCCATTATTTATTCATCACTATAGAAGAGAATTACCAGCAGAATTCCAATGAGTGACCGATAAAGAAAGGTCAAAAAGCCTTTTTTCGTTTATTCAGAGTGTACAGACGTACTTACTATGCATTCAAATTGCATTTAACAGTATATTTCTCAATGGATTCAAATAATATATTTTCTCAGAATTTTATTATCTTTTCGGTATTATTTTTAATTTCTCACTAATTTTCAAAATACTTCTTACATAATATCTTATGTCTAAATTATTCCTTTAACCAATATTTCCAATTTTACCAATATGTTTCAATGTCTCCTTCAGAAAGAACAACTAGAACAACACAATCACCAACTAAAACAACTTTATATAGCACTTTAACAACAACACATAGTGTACCGTTAGTACTTGAAGATACCAATAAAATACATACAACTACTACAAGTATTCTACCTACTACAATATCAGTAAATGCTTTAGGATCAGCAACTAAATCATCACCCACTCATGAGTCCACAAGAACTTACCAGATAGAGAATACACCAAGATCCAGTACTAACTCTGGTCTCATAGAAGAAGATTCTTTTGCTTGTAAGTACTCATGCAATTTATTATAGACAATCATCAGGTCTGTGGTTTCTTCAATTCCACTAAAAGTAATCCGGTTTAAGATATCACTATGGCAAGTCTTTGAGAAAAGGGCGTCATAGAACGCCTAGTTTAATTGGAATTGCAAGAATCACAGATGTCAGATTGAAAATTGGAATGGTGATATCTGTATCAGTACACAATTAATTTTAACTCTTAAATTTTTAAACTCTTTAGAAGCCCTTTAAGTCAGAAAATGATCATACTCCCTTTATTGTTTAAGAACTTTTTAAAACGTATATGCTTTTAGAAGATGTATAAAATATATCTTGAACAGCACACAAGGCTAGCCCATTTTCCCATTTTTGTCTGACAACTGATGTTCCTGTAATTCAAGTATTACCTGACAAGACTAAGATGCAAATTTCAAAGCAAATAAGTTCAATCCAAGTTTTTCTGGAAATAAAGGAACTTTGCACTTGTCTGATCTACCAAGAGAACAATTCTCCAGATAGAAATTTAAAAAAAATCAGTGCTTCTTAAATTTATGATCCAATCCAATCATACCAACAGTGTTTCTATGTAATATTACAGTTACAACAGGCATGATGGGTGGTATGGTAGCAGCTATTATAGGTTTAATGTTAACAATATTTGGTTTTATATTTTACTGGGGAAGGTAAATATTTTTACTTTATCAATCAGTCATCATGTCTATTTCATTATGTAAGAAATATAAAATAGGAGTACTATTCAGCTGTAATATAAGAGCTATACAAAACTTATTGCATAAGATGGTGCCTGTGCAACATTAGATAGACATTCAGTTGGATGATTCAATTTCAAAGGCTGATTCTAAGTTTGTTCTGAAAAATGGGTTATATAATCTGACTTAGACAGGCTTTAATTTGTGTAAATTGCCACCATTGTTAAGAGGGTGATTATTAGACCTACATACATTCATTTGTATTCAGTCCAATTAGGAAAATTATTGTTTTTGACCTTATTTTACAGTCTGCGTCATTCAGACTAAAATGTTATTTGACCTGTAAAAGGACTCCAACCTTAACTTTTTCATTTTATCATCAAAAATATTTATAAACACAATTAATCTGTACAGAGTTACTCCCCTTTAATCTTCAGAGAATTTCTAATCTCAGTTTTAACTTTCAATTTCTGTTACCATGTTTCAGGAAAAGGCGACATCTTACTATGACCAAACCTCAATCCAGTGTGTGGGATTTTTTGTTGGCTCAAAACATAACATTTAGACCATTCCGTAGAGGAGGGTATGATAATTTTAATAGTCACCGCTCTTCTATTAGTTCTGATGGAGAAACTAGTTCGCCTGTTACAAGAAAATCTAATTGGACACCTAATATTGCTGTTGAAACTGTGAATGTGGAACCTACAACATCTGATGATAATTGTAGCATTGTGGATGTCCATAGACATGTGTAATATTCACTGTATGAAGGTTATATTACAAATGTCACAATTAAACATTTTGGTTAACAAAATTTACGGGGAAAATGTTTAAGTACTGATACAGTCATTAAATTCATCATATAATATTAATAAAATACAATTAATAATCAATAATTCAGGCCTCAATTTATTATCTTAGTAGAATATCATGCCTTGTTCAAGATGTTTTGTACACCATTTTAAAGATATTTTCATAGTTATTTTTGCTTTCAGTTTTGGTAAGAATTATGGTAGGACAATTTCAATATAATATATAAATAGTGTAAATAAATATTAAACAAGATACACCAATTTAGTTAGTATGCTTCACTTGCCTTGATATAATATAAATGCTCAACTAACAAATTCAACTTTCTATAGGTTTACTTTAACAGTATATTTGTGTTCCTATTTTCCTATTTATATTGCACCAATGTTCACTTACTTTTGCACCAGATTTGCAAACGGATGTGACTTTCCATTTTTTAAAGTGAAATCTGTTTTTTGAATTCATTTGCATTTATATTACGTAAGACATGTGATAGTACAGTATAGACAAAACTGATAGTGTATTCAAAACAGAATTGTCAAAACTTGAAATTCAATTCAAAATGTAGCATACATTTTCTGTTCTTATTCTCAATTTCTTAAATTAGGCCATACCAAAATAATTTTCTGTTCTTCGGGATTTCTTGAAAAAAAAAAGGTACGAGCGAACGAAATTTTTTTTTTAATTTAAAAAAAAAAATGTCTAAAAGTTAGTAATCATTGATTTGGTTGGTGCGATATAATATTTTTTGATTTAAAAAAAAAAAAAAGTCCCTTCGTACCATTAAAATTTTCCAACATGGATGATTTTGAATGTATTCAGATAAAATAACAATTAATAGTATTTATTTATGGTGTAAAAAATAACAATAAAAAATAATAATAGGTGTCAGTGAATTACTGATTGATATATGACTGATATTACTGATAAAACAAACAAATAAAAGTGCAAATACACCCACCAGAAGCTTTAAAGGGGTGGTAAAGATGTTTTCTAACCTTATTATATGTATCTGGGACACGGATTTCAATTTGCACCAGTTTTTATTCCAAGGTCTGTGGTTCTTGTAATTCCACTAAAATTAACGCGTTTTATGACGTCACTAGATGGTAGCTACTATTGATATCTATGCAATTTACATCTAGTGACGTTGTTAAACACGTTAGTTTTAGTAGAATTAACTGGTCTTTTGACCAGCCATCATCAATTGTTTTGCACCAATCTAGCACATCACAAAATAGTTTTTGAGGTCCAGTTAAGGTTTTGTCAAAGACTAGTGGTGTAGGTTTTTCAGGAAACATTAATGTCTTTCTTGATGCCATCATAAAATCGAACACATTTTTATCACTTTTGGAAGTATTACAAACAGGTTCTTCAGACGAAGAATGAGAAGGCAAGTTAATTAAAAAGTCCACAAACTTGGATTTCAGTTCATCACACAGAGAAATTTTCAACGAAAGTGTAACCAAGACACCGCCTGATTTTTCCATATTGTCCTTGATGTACACTTTTTCTGGGATCTGTGATATACACGATTGAATTCCTGCAGATGCCAGATCATAAACATCTTTAAAAGTGTTTTCAGGCTCAACATCGTGCCATGTATGGCAAAATAAGTTTCTGGTGTGACCTAATTTTGATTACTAAAATCATTTTGGTAAAATAGACAAATACAAATATTAATTCTAGCACTGCATCGGCCATGCCTATTTCTGATAATTATCAACTTCCGGAATTTCGATGCGTTTGGTCGTCGAGAAAACGTTCTTGCTTCAGCGAAGCGCCTAAACTACTGTTCGAACTCACTCTTTCAACAGCTGGAACATGTTCTACTTTAATTGTCGCACAATGTCCACAAACTGACAAACGGAAATAGAGGGCGCAATTTGTTACTCCTGCTACCAAATTTTAGGCTTAGAGAAATAAAAATGAAACTAAAAATGAGAGCTAAACAATCATGTTAACTGATCAATTTAGAGGTACGGACATACGGGCAATATAATTTTTTTTTTTAAAATTAAAAATTCTTTATTCAAAATTTTACATACAGGAGCTCTTTTGATACATACCGAATATTATTTTTTAATTTTAAAAATAAAATTTCGATAACGGAAAATCGGGTACGGAATTCCCGACGAACAGAATATTATTTTGGTATGGCCTTAGTGTTGAAGATTAACTATATATATATATATATATATATATATATGATTTTTGTTTCTGTATATTGTATGTATATAACTGTTCATTTAATACTTAAACAAATTAGTTTGTTCAAGCAGTTTTAAAAAACTATTATTCGTGTTTCTGTTGAGCGGGTATGATATAAACATTTCCTAGTACATTTTTTTTTATATTTCATAAAACTTCAGATACCTGTGCTTCAAGCAATTTCAGACTTAGTAATTTTCTGGGGCAGCCAAAGTTACAATGGAGGAGAGGGGGAACAGATATTTAAGAAAAAGAAGTCTGTAGATGGCATTTCCAGCAATCTGAGACATGACATATAGATGAAATATGACAAAGTCAACTTGCAAAATAAATACTTGCCAATCTGTTCATGTCATGTGATTTCAGAATCAAGATTTAAAAACTATGTTTGTGTCCAAAGATGTTTTCAACAATGATCAAATCATTTTCTATAACTTTTGTTTTGATTTGATTTTTGATTAAATTGTATTCTTTCTATGTTTATAATTGTAAATAAAGTGAGTAATTGAAATTTTCTTCTTATCAATATTTAGCAAGTCAAGATGTCTCAATAAAACCCAGGTTCAGGATTCAATCCTGATTGACCATGACAGTCCAAAACTTGCTATAAAGACCGGCTTCTGATATTGATTATTGACAGTGGTCAAATGAAAGTAAAAAAAATGTGGGTTGATATAGCCTACCTCGCTGTACATTTCAAGACCGTATACAATAAAGTACTGGAAATTTCTATTAGGCTTCAAGATTTCTGAACTTTGCACTTAATACAATGTGTATAACAGTAGACAGCAATAATTGTCATATTGCTACTATACAGTAAGAATGTTTTAATCAACCCACTGATTTTGTCAGATTTTTATTTAGGTATAGGCACTATCTATAATGCATTTAAAGGAATTGCGAAGAGGTTTCTTAATTGCTTATGCGTATAATGTCACTAATCGCAAAGTATGCTTGTATGGCGGTTAGTTACGTTATCAATCACAAAGTTTTAGTGAAATTGCAGGAACCACTGACGCCTGATTGAAAATTGTAATAGTGCAAATTGATACCCATACAAAGTTTAGAAAACCTATTTACAATCCCTTTAATATTGAATGCAAAGAAATGCACATCACGACATCTATAGGATAACAACAAATTTTCACCATTTCTCTTGTTTATGAGTCAATGGTATTGAAACTAGTAGGGCCAGCTTTTTTTCTCCAAATATTACTTCCCTATCTATTCTACAACATAATTTACTGTCACCATTAAAACTCAAAATATTATACTCACCATTAAAACCCGAAATATTATACTAAGAAAACATGTATCATAAGGAGACTAGGACCCTACTTAATGCATGCATGGCTTGTTGTAAAGAAAAACTAGATCATGTAAATAAGAATATATTGCATACAACTTGCACTATAGTGAGACTTAAATCAAAATGATTCATCAAAATTTACTAAAGTCTAATCTTTAATAGTCTGTATTTTGAATTCAAAATGTGGATTAAAATAGGAATTATTATTCTTATATCAAGACTTGAGGGTAAGTTTTCAAATTCATTTTTTAATTAAGTCTTGTTTGCAGTGAAATCAAATCAAATGCCATATCCAGTTCAAAGTAATGAATGCTTACAGATACTATCCATGACATTTACTCAGTCAATTTTATTTAAAATAATTCATTCCTGTGAAATTCTTGGAAACAGGTAATCAGCAATTTCATTTACAAAAGATAAGATAAGTATTCCTGTTAAATTAAGACTTCAAGATTTAATTCAATAAAATTTATGTGTGTTGGGGCATCAATTTGCACTATTCCACCTTTCATTTACACGTCTGTGGTTCCTGCAATTCCAAAATTGATAGTGGTTGTATGATTGAAAATTGGAATGGTGCAAATCGATGCTAATATTGTATAGCAATATACATGTATACATAAAAACTTGAGAAAACCTTGTGACAATTCCTTTAAGAAAAATTTCATTGATGTCAAATATGGCATCTAATGATTTGCAGAGGCTAAATCATTTCACAATCACACTGTTGCTGAATTTAACATGCTCATGACATCTGTTTAAACAATGGACAGAACACAATACAGTCCTGTATAATTACTAGTCACTACTGTTAGCCACATTAATCTGATTGTGTATCATGTTCAGTGTGTCCTAATGCATAGCCATGTACCATTTTACCTAAAAATGTTGATTTCTGAATCTCCTTTCAATATCTTGTTTCCAGCTACAAGTTCAACTGTATTCAATACAACTACTTGTTTTGAAGGGAGAAAAGGAGCATATACCATGGAATGTAAAAAGAACGGCACTGTAAAAAGTCTGGACATTATTGCCATAAGAAATGTGTATTATGGAACCAAACTCAAAGCATCTACATGCAAGCAGGATGCCTGTTGTCTGCCTAATACAACAAGTGACTGTATTTATAGAAAGAATGATAAAATAGAAGACATCATAAAAGCATGTTCTGGAAACACATCTTGTTTTTCTCAGATAAATCGGGTGTATAATTATGGCAATTGTAAAATACTCAATGTTAAATACTCATATTTTGCACATTTTGCTATCTTGGAATATGCGTGCATTAACAGTAAGTCTTAATCTTATCCTATTTAAAATTTTAATATGATCTATTCAAACTGTCTTTTCTAAGAAACAAAAACAGGCATAAGGAAAGAAAAGAAAAGAAAAAAACACTATATTTTATAAGGATAACAGCTCATGTTCACAATAATCACAGTAAAGATGATGTTTTAAAGGTCATCAGACTTGCACATGCCGATCAACATCAGAACCATTTCTTCTATCACCAGCGAACTTTGCCTATTGTGTCTTAGTGAGTCCAGTGCTACGACATTTGCCTGAGCATTGGTTGTAACCAACTGCCAAAATCAAGTGTGTAGATATTATTCACCCGAATATTCATCACCATTATAGGCGCCACCATATTTTTTATCATGCGTCTAAGTGCCTTGCGAATGTGTAATTTATTTTATCAACGATGGCATTCGTCCAGTGTGCCTAAATGAATAATTTCAGCCGAAGTGCCGGTGAATGAAATTCGTCTGGTCTGACCTTAGCTTAAACACCAGTCATAACATTGAAATTCATTTTCATTTTCAGTACAGAAACTTATGGATATGTGTGACGCTGGTATAACAAAAAGAGACAACAGTCTATATCTTACTAGTAATATATTTGGTAACAATGACCAAACTGTCAACACAACATATTCATGTGTTGTTACTACCAACTGTAATAGAACTATTCAGATATTGGCTGTTGATGTCAGATTAGCTCTAGATGTTCAGAATTCTGTTTGTTATGAGGAACTGATGATAACTGATGGTAATACTATAAAAAATATAACTTGTCAAGACTCAGGATTGTATTCATTTCAACCAATATTTACCAGCAACTCTAATATTGTTAATATTAATCTAACTACCAGAGATAAACATATTGGTAATGTATGGATACATGTTCAAGGTAAGTTCATGCATAAAAAGTAAAATAAAACACAATAAGTCACAATTTTGAATATTTGTACAAATGTATCATGTTTCACAGATTTGAAAGCTTCCATGCATGAACACATATTTATTTAAATATGACACTTAAATTTTAATATAAAAACTTACCTAAGCAACGCCAGTATGTATAAAGGGAGGTAAATCTATTTTTAGGTACAGATGACGAATCTGAAATAGAAGTAAGATGTGGAGATAATACTCAATTACCAATCAATGATAATCATATGTGTGAAAAAGATAAACTTACTACAGGTATCAGAGATAAAGATTGACTATGCAACAGTTTTCCTTGATTATCAGTGACTAGTTTCCTTTGTGTTTGAACTCTTCAAGCAGATTAGACTCACCTTAAGGTGATTATCAGTGACTAGTTTCCTTTGTGTTTGAACTCTTCAAGCAGATTAGACTCACCTTAAGGTGATTATCAGTGACTCAGCACCCACCCGGACCAAACAGTCCACAGACAATAGGCTGAACTCCATTATCAGATTGAAAACCTTCCAACCACATGGGATGACAAAATCTAAACCTGGACACCCCCCTTCTCTCTTTGCTACTACAGGTACCCCAAATACATTTACATAACCTGCAAATTTATTCCTTTACTGCCTACAGTATGATGTGTATATAAAAAAAACTTTAAAAAAAAAGTAGAAAATTAAGGTTATCTGTGCTTACCTAGGAACTTTTATACTGCATGTTGAACTTTTTATTACAGATTTGAGTACAGAATCAGCAACAAACACTGCCTCTATAAGTCTCACAACAACCTTATGTACAGACTGTGACCAGCGTAACCAAGGTAAATATCATCAATGGCTAGAAATAAAATAAACAGAAAACAAAATTACCCTTTACAGATATGTTCCTTTGAGTCTTTCCCTACAGTATGTATTTGTGTATACTACTTTTCAAAATTAAAGGGACAGATCCATGAATTTTTTTATCTAAGCTATTCAGTAATAGTGTTCACAGCTCACCATCAAAATCTGAGCCTTCAAATCAATGTGTGTTCAAATATCCGCATTTGAAAGTTAAAGAGACGATTTGTCTTTTCTCGATATATTGTGATTGAGAAAAGACATTTATAGAAATAGGAAAAGAAATTCCTAGTTTGAGGTATTTTTGAAGGAATTATGCAATTTCCATACATTTCTAGTACTTTTGAAATCTAGTTACATATGTTTTAGACCCAAATCAAAGTCAGATTCAGCAGTGCAATTATATTTTCATCAAAAAGGTTTTGGTAATTCTTAATCTTATCAAAGCAAGAACAGCAACCTGATTCTAGAAAACATTACTAAGACAAAATTCAGATTTTAAATGTCTATTTGGATAAATTGGATTACTAAATGTAGATATTAGTGATTGGCCAAAAAGATGAATGAACACTAAAATCATATGAAGTTAAATTTTCAAAAATAAGGCCCCTGTAATTTTTGGGTTATTTTTTTTAGTATTGGGAAGTGATACAGAAAGTTCAAAAAGACATTCCTCAGGTGTGAGGACATAATGACATAATGAAGAATCACAACAATGTACCTATTAAAAGAATTTATTTTTTTTCCCTTACTGGTCATAATGAGTTTGAATGAGACTGAACATTGTTCTTGAACTAACACAGTCATAAATGTCAATATCTAGGCTACAATTTGATTACGAAAATATGTTCCATAATGCTTAATATTGTTTAATATTGTAATATGTCTATCTATTTCTATCTATCTTATCTGACACTGAGGTAAAGTTTTATTTTGATAGATAAGCAGTCTGGTTTGTCAGCTGGTATGTATGGTGGCTTAATTGCAGCAGTAATTTTAATAATATTAATAGCATTGGTCACTATTTTAGTTTTAATATCCAGGTATACTATTATTCACTTCCTTTATTCTCAAACCTCTTACATACTTTACTCATTGGGTTTTAAATTGACAAATGTTTGTTCCTAACCATTTTTTCTAATTTCTCTCCTTTTGTATACTTCTGATTTTAGGTCAAGGAAAAGGGAAAATAATGAAAGCAATGAAAACATATACAATACTGGTGTAAAGGAATACCATCCATATGAAACAATGGCTTCTCCAGCAGGTCAAGCTACTGATGGAGCAGTAGGTGTAACCAATCCTGCTTATTACACTGATAAAGAAGGTGTTCAGTCAACTCAGTTGTGATCGAGATCATTCAATTAACGGAGATCAGCGGTAAATAAACATTATGATCAGTGGCATATTTTGGACTTGTTGGGCCGTAGGCAAAGGAACGGTAGAAGGCCTAATTTATCATTTTAGGGAAGGAGCATGGTGTGATTACAAATTATGGCAGGAAGTTTACGATCATTTTTTTTCAGGAACAGATCAATCAGCATCAATCGGCATTCATCATCATTAAGCTCAACTCAATTTAGTTGATTTTCACACATCACGATCCTACTAGGACACTTCATTAAATTTAATCTTAAAAAAGGTCGCTTTGCAGATGCATTTGCTAAAATATATCCTCAGAGTTACCTCTACAGTAGGATACTAAGCTTGTAATTTTTGCGCTTGTATTAGCAGCTTCTTTCAGCTTCTTGGCCTCCAACCGTTTTTAGGAAATTTCTCCCATTCGCCCTTCTGATTTTGAGCCATGATTACCTTACGCTGTTTAAGTATAATTATTTTCATCTATATTATTTATCAGTTTCAGAGTCGGCCCTATATATATATTGTATATAATTTGTTGAAAATCTTTTGGAAGAATCTTGATTAAGTTATATGTAGCAGTAGGCCTCACAACAAGTTGATAACGCAAATAGAACAATAAAGTTAACAATGAAAACTTTTGAATCTATAACTTCTGAAGACGAAAGTCGGGACAGACTGGATTCCAATCCAAACGGTAGCCTATTTAAATTTATTTATTATGGTCAATCACTCAATGAAATGTGTCTGGGATGGGCTGAGCAAACGGCCGCTGGTTGGTGTCTACGAAGAGAGGTTTAAAAAGCATACACACTTATAGTCCTCTGGTAACGAAGCTTGTGTCTTGGCGACTGCTGACAAAAAAAGGCAACACATTAGCGTCGTCTGTTATTAATCTAGGGAATATGAATATCAAATGGTATTTCAATTAAAAGTCAACTAGAACAAGAAAAAATAAATCACACGATAACGTGCAAACAGGTTGGTAGGTAGAAAGTCGATTCAATAAGAGTAAAGGTCGCTACGTTTTGGGACTAATCCCTTTATCAAGCGAAACAAAAACAAAAATATGTGAGAAAGGTTCTATCTCTACGAAGAACAGCACTGGTCTGACAAGAAATGATACATTCATCTAGGTTAGATGAACAAATAAATATTTTTTCAAGGGAGATAATAAACTAAAAGATAGTGGACGACAGCCATATATGCCGACCACGGCATGCGGATGGTAAAAACGAAACATCCATTTCAAGTTTCATCAAAATCGGTTGAAAACTAAGAGAGTAATAGCATATTCAAGATTTTGGGGCAAGGGCAATAACTCTGCTTCTAACAGTCGAAAATAGCTCAAATTCGAACTTGATCTTCGTCTTATGAATATGTATACACATACCGATTTTCATAAAAAAAATCTAGTTTTAAGAGCGTTTACAAGCAAATGTTGACGGATCGACGGAGTGTTTACGAGCAATTGATGTTGATAAAAAAAAAAGGAACATAAAAGGAAGTGACGTATTGTTGCGTTTACCACTAACGTATTGTTGCGTTTACCACTAGGTATCACCTGGGGATGTTCCCCTATCCCCACTGAAACCTAGTGTATGCGCTCAACAACCCTGTTTAAGTTTTGGGAATAATTGGCAAACTGTTGAAAAACTCTAACCTCTTCCCCAAAGATAATATTTCAAGTACATTACATGTTATACCTAAATATCCCATTAACACAGTACCAAATTAATTAAAACATACTAATAATACTACCAATGGAATTACAACAGCTAACTTGAACATTAACATATTTACATAACAAGTCTGTAACTATAGTTTCAAGGTGATAAATGTATAAATTACTCCAAAACTTGCTTCAGTTGTCCATCCAATATGTTGCATTGCTTGTTTACTTGAAGTTGCTGCAATCGATGTATATGTATTATGAATGAAGTGAATATGACATCCAGGTCAAATGTATGAATAAATTGAATTTTCATTAATGACTATTTTCAGGGGGAGTGGGGACAATATATATGATAAATGATAAATAATTGTTTTATATTAATACACTAATCCAAATTGAGCATTTTATTTTAAATCTAAGAATTTATTCATTTGTGTCATGCAATCCCTTTCTTGTAAATAAATGTTTTTTTATCAGAGCTGTTTGAAGTAATTCATATACTGCAATATTGGATGTTAATCAGAACAGTGGCAGAGCCAGGTTTACGTCTGAGGGGAGGGGAGGGGGGGGGAGGGTGCAAAATACCTGAGGTTGCCCGAATTTCTTACCATGTTATGATATTTTTGCCCGAAAAACATGCCTTTGGGGCTGCGAGGGCTCCTCCACTGAATTAGAATATGTGTAAGTGTTGTATCTTTAGGTAAACCCTTACAGATTTACATATCAATTTGTATTCAGCCTTTGAAATTAGAACTGGAATACATTGAACTTGCTAATTGTTCCTTTTTTAATCCTTAAAACAAAATATTTGTATCCCCAAAACTCGAAATAGTGTTTCTGACCTTTTCTTTGATTTACTACCGAATTCAGTTCACAGACAAAGCTCATAACTGATTTAAATTAAATAAGAGAACTTATATCAGTCCAAATGAGCAGATCTCAGACCTATTTCAAGAATTCAAAAATAATAGCCCTTTGTTGAGATCTGATCATAGATTAATCAATCAATGACTCCCCTTAGCTTGTTTAGTGATTATATTTATGGATAGAAACAATACCAACCGTGGCAGTCTTTGTTCAAACTTTTTAAAAACAGCTTTATCAAACCTTGCCGAAAGTTTCAAGGTCAAGGGTAAACTTTATTTCCCGCTCTTTTTCGTGCACGACCCTGTCAGTGACCTACAAAAAACTTTGTATCTGGGAATGAAATGGAATGGAACTAGGAGTTATTCTATATTAAAGCGGTCTTAAGCAGGTAAAATTTGTTCAATCAACATCGAAACAGATTTGAATATTCGTCTGAGTCCGGGAATTTTCAGTCTTCAAGGGAGGCAATGCATTAAAAAGGGATTGGATAAAAGAAAAAAATCCGTCAACAGACCATTTCCATCACTGCAACTAAACATTATACACTATTTATCATTACCCCTCCGGATATATTACTTGCCCCTCTTAACAATCAAGTCTGGCTAGGGGCCTGGTACCCCCTTAAAAAATCAATTTGCTTCAGAGGTAATGCTTCAGAGGTAATTGATCCTTCAGCACAGTTGACCCGACCATATAATTTTTAAATATAAATTACAGCTGATAAGATGTCTTCAAGGAGACAGAGTACATTTTTGTCTCATCTACAAAATACCAGAATTCCTGTTCCAGTGAAATATGTAAATGTAGTAAAGAGGAAAACTTGTCAGTACAATGGTCCACAGACGGATTCTGCTGACTCACTCTCATCAGGTTCTACTCAGTTCATCAAAAGGAAAAACTTGAATAAAATGAACAGGAAAAAGGAAAAGCATTGTAGAAAACTAATGCATATGCTTCATGATGTCCAAGACAGCATCAGAATGACCAGAGCAACTACTAAATTAATGGAACAACCAACAGACACTGAGACCCCATCCAGTAGCTCTCCAGACAGGCAGTCAAATCTTTCAAACCTTATTAGATATAGATATCCATCTCATAAACACCTCCTAAAGAGATTACATCGCAAATGTAAAAATAGGTATTACACCATGGCACAATTAGCCAGAAAACTAGCAGGAAGCGAGTCTGATGACAGTACAGATATTAGTCTAGATTCTGATGATGACACTGGCATTCAGATTACTGATATACAGGGTAAACAAGTATATTCCGTACAGAATACAAAGGCAATGGACAACATGCTACCCCTAACCATTAATACCAATCAGGATGAAGGTATAGAATTTAACAGAATTGATGAACCAGTCCATGACTTAAATGCTGTTCGAATTTTTGAATCCAGTGAATCTGGATCTGAGGAGGATAAAAATACTGAACTACCTCTGCAGCCACACATGAAAATGGTTAGTGAAATTTAGTATGGAATACTAGCTCAAATTTTTTCTTAATTGTGGGACTTTGCTTTCAGCAAAGTCCCAGTTTGTTATCGAAATGTCAATTCTTTTTTTTTTTTTTTTTTTTTTTTCGATTTTTACACACCTTCCTGAGCTTAGACTACAATAGTTGCAGCAACCATTCAACATTCACGAAGCTTAGATATAGGCTTTTTTGCTTTTTGTCTGATTAATCTGAAAAAAATTGAGCAAAGACAGTTTAAGAAAGTAAACAAAATGGTACAGTAAAAATTTCAATTTCACTTCAGGTTTAAACAGGAAATCGATGTTCACTTCCGGTTGAATATCTTCCGGTGTAATTTGTATAGGACAAAAAAATTTATGCTGATAGATAGACAAAGTTATGACAAAAAAAACGAAGAAAAAAAAATCCGGAACAGACGTGAAACTTTGGCCGCCATTTTGATTTCCCTGAAACTCTTCGATTTTTATTCCAAATTTCAAAATTTTGGTGTCAAATGAAAGAACACAAAAATTAAGAGAGATCGCAGGAAGCCGATTTTTGAATTTCGATTTTGCTTTTTTGCAATTTGCGATTGAATTTTTTCAATATTTGATGGCGTATATCTCGTGACCTTGACCTTTGATGACATTGACCTTTATAGGGTCAAAGGTCATTGACCTTGGCTATCATTTGATACTTTGACCTCCGACATGTACTTCCGGTTTTATAGCTATCCGTAAAAAGCCAAATTTGCAACTTTGGACTGCTCTAGCACGTG